TTAGATGACAGGGATGGGAGGGAGTCAGGAATTTCTCTAAAAATTTTAGCCTAGCAACTGAAAAAATGGACTTCCCATTACTTGTGATAGAGAAGACTATAGAGGGGCGCCTGGGTGGCTCAGTCGATTAAGCATCTGCCTTTGGCTCAGGTCACGATCCTGGGGTCTTGGGATCGAGCCTCATGTCGGGTTCTTTGATCAGCAGGGAGCCTGCTTCTCCCTCTCCCCCTGGCTCATACTCTCTCTCAAATAAATAAAATCTTAAAAAGAGAGAGAGAAGACTGTGGATAGAACAGTTTTATTTTTTTTTAAGATTTTATTTATTTATTAGAGAGAGAGAGAGCACAGCATGGGGGAGGAGGGAGAAAGAGAAGCAGGCTCCTTGCTGAGCAAGGAGCCCCATGTGGGACTCGATCCCAGGACCTCAGGATCATGACCTGAGCCGAAGGCAGATGCTTAACCACCTGAGCCACCCAGGCACCCGTCAGAACAGTTTTAGGAGGAATATTTAGAGGTCAGTTTCAGACATGTTACGTTTGAGACATGCAAATCTGATGTCAAGTATGCAAGTGGATACATGAGTTTGGAATTCAGGACAGAGGTCTGGATTGAGATATAAATTTGACAGTCCCCAGCATATAGATCATATTCAGAATCCTGAATTGTTTAGAGATTCAGGAGGTGAGGAGTAATCAGCAAAGGAGGGACCATTTAGACAAGAGAAAAACAAAGTTCTTAGAAGCTAAGCAATGAACAGGCTTCAAAGAAGAAAGGATCATCAACTCTATCAAATGCAGCTGGTGACTCAGGAAGATGAGGCCTGAGCCCAGACAGCTGGACTGAGCAACAGGGGAAGTACAATCCTGGCAAGAGCAGTTTCAGTGGCATAGTCAGGGAGGAAGCTGAATTGGAGTACATTTCAGAGAGTGAAAGGAGAAATGAGACAAAACTACAAATAAATCTTTCTAGGGATTTTGCAATAAAAGGCAGCAGAGAAATAGGTCAACAGCTGGAGAGAAGAAGGACTTCAAAGGCTGTTTTTTGAGTTTGTTTGGTTCGGTTGTTGTTTGATGGAAGAAATACCAGCACAATAGTATGTAATGGGGAGGACTCAGTAGAGAAAGGTGAAATAAGCACGGGATGAAGATGGGATCTGGGGCTCACGGGAACGCTGGCCTTTGAGGACAGCTGGCTCAGTTTATCCGGAAACAGAAAAGGCAGGTCACAGGAGTACAAGGTTCTGGGAGGAGAATATCCATGGGAGGAGTCTGTGGGCGATCTCTTCTGATTGTTTCAGTTTTTTTAAGGGAAGTAGGAAGCAAGGGCATTAGCTGAGAGTGAGGGTGGGGGAGAAAGTATTGGGGGCTGAGGAGAAAGAAGATGAAGTAGTCATTGAGGAGGCAGGGGAACAAAGGCACTCAGGGTATGGCTGCTGACATATAATCTAAGGGTTACTTGAGGTCCATGGTCAAGAACTTAAACTATGGCAAGAGTCTTCTTTCCTCAAAACAGCTGCTGCTTATTTTCCTGTACCTTTATCAATAATGTTATTCAATGAGCTAAAATGTTAAAAGGAGACCAATACATATAAACTTGTATAAAGACTCCCCAAAATAGAAGCTCTGCTCGATGCTGTATGATAGGTGCTTTGGCAAAATCAATTCATCAAAAGAAGCTACATGATGACCCTTATTTCACAAAGAAAGGAATCCTATAAGATAAGCTAAAGACAGGGGAAGGTAATACAGTTATCATGTGCAAAAATCCTATCCACTCAACAGTCAACTGGGGGCTGAGTCACTCTGGCCCATAATGCACCTGGATTACTAGCTTGACATGCTATGAGGTAAATCTCATCTCACCTCTTCACACTCCTTTCCCAGAGAAAGGACAAGGACAAGTGGATTGTAGTTTGGGCTGCCATGAAGCTTTAAGGAATGGTCTACCTTACTGCCTGGATTGGAAAACAGCAAGACAAGATTTTCATACCTTCCAAACTGTCTATTTTTCTACCTGTAAATGTGGGATGCCCTCTTTCACAGGTAGCCAAAGTGTTACACTAGTTATCTACAAATTTACAAGTAATAATTATAACCTAAACCCTGAAGATTATTACAATTAAAATTAATCCTCCTTCTAATCACTCCCAGAAATCATTAGAACTGTATTAATAATTGTTTTATATTTACATTTATGATAAACTTGTGAATGTACCACAGCCCTCTTCAATCAATGACCATAAATCAAAATTCTCACAAAATGTTAGTTGTAAACTTCCCTTGTTTAAAATTAGTCTCATAGTAGAAAGCAAACATTTTACTATTTATCCGTCACTATCTTGTACATAGTCTGCATTTTTTTAAAAAATTAAGCCAAACCCATTGTTCCACAAACAAGAGTCCTAAAACAGTAAGAATATATAGAATAAAAATCTAGTCAAAATATCCTTGCAGTACCTTCTAGGCTTTAATGGAGGGACTCAAAGAAGGAAGAGAAGGGAAAAAAAATGGAAGCTGATAGAACAAATTTTCCCTAAGCTCAAGAGAATAACAGTAATACAAAAACACATTTGAAAAGATACATAAATCTCACAATCTAAAACTTCAAAAAAAAAAAAAGAAACTCCTATTCTAAAAATGAGACCATACATTATGCATTATGGGGTTAAGAGTATTCATCTCGGAACAAGGAAAGGAAAGATATGCCAAGAATATACATCACTCATCATTATAACAGGGCATAATTGGTATTTGACACTTGGAAAGCTGACTTCCCTAGGTTTCTGTTTATGTCCACACTGTTATTTGCATTACAAAGGTGAAAGAAGTCACTTGGCTACGGATGTTGCCATATCACCCCGGTTATTCAGGCCAATGGTGTGGAACAAAACAAAAGAAGGTTGTCAACCCCGAGCAGACACTGTCCTTTCCCAGCCCTTTAAAATAACGCTACTGAGAACAGTAACGTTTTTCAAAGACCTAATAAGCAGTAACACCTATAAGCTCTTGTCAGGTAATCTTTCTTTCATGATCTCACACTATCAGTCTGAACGCAGAGAGGGGGGAAAGCCTTCTCCCTTCCCCCACTTGCCACAGGCAGCTAGAACCTAGGATGACACTTGCCCGTTTCCAACAGGGAAAGCGGTCCAGCCACACAGGAACAGCAGCAGGGGGCATACACGAAAGGGACCAGTGTGAAAAGAGATGCAGAACCACATATATGATCTTGAAATTTATGCTGCGTGGCAGCCTTGTGTCTCATAGGAAAACAGGTACTTTCATTTTTGCCTCCTACTGCCACTCGACCTTTCCTGGCTGGTGACTCAGTAGGTGGCAAAAATGAAAGTGCTTTTTTCCCTGCCTTTGAAACTAGGGCTGTTCCAAACTGTGGATTTCAAAATCATAACATGAACCACTTAATTTTCCGAAGTACTTCTTCTACTGTCTTCACTAGAAATAGTAAACTATGAAACAACAGTGTTTGCCTAGATGTGTAAGATTGGCACTAAGATGTGTTTATATCTATCTGATAGTTAGAAGTTGCTTAGTATAATCTCGGTAATTTATGGCCAGGACACAAAATATAGACAGATTTTAAAAAACAACCGTCTTGAAATTAAAATATTGGACACTGTATATTAACTAACTGGTATTAATTCAAAACTTAAAAAACTTAGGTAAAGAGCTAATTTAAACATCTTCATTTGAACGAGTCTCTGGTTGGCTTCAATTACATATTCTTATTGAGGCCCTGCTCCATGTGAGGAAGTACAGTACCCAAGTAAGAGACAGTCCTCTTCCTCAAGGAGAGCTTAACCCAGAAGAGAGAAGAAAATATCCACATAAAATAACACAAAGGTGTCAGAAATACCATAAGACATACAAAGAATGTGTATCATCAGGTTTCCAAGAAAAGATACTACAGTCATAAAATCAGAAAAAGCTTCATGATAGAAATGGCATTTTAGGTGGTGCCTGAAAGTGGGATAGGATTTCAGAAGTTGGGAGAAAAAAATGAGGGTGCAAAGTGAACAAAATCACAGAGGCAGAAAAGGTAGTTTATGTATAGGCAGTATTTTCTGAACTGTGTTTTAGACACCAATTCTGGAAGAAGACAATAGATGCACTTAAAAAGAGGGGGGGAAGGGGAGCCCCACAGTCAGATAAGGGTACAGTGTTATTTTAAACACTACACCCTATGTTCTCCTCTTGGAAATTTAAAATGCACATTAGAATAAGAAAGGCTCTGAGCAAGGTCATAAAGTAACTGTTAGCCCAAGTCCCCCCAACCTATAGAACTCATTTGAAAGAACGTCCATCAATTCTTCAAACAATTTCAGAATTACTATCTAAGTAAAACTGAGATAAGGTGAGCAGAGTAAATTTGACACATATTACAGAATGCCTCATACACAAAACTGAGAAATGTGGTCTTTATGAATGACAACAAAATGAGGTTTTGCCCCTACATGGGGGTGTTTGTTATTCAAACATATCATTACATACTAAGCTTAATGGGAAGCTTTGTATGAAACTTTTTTTTTTTAATTCATCTTATTTTACAAAAAAACAAGCAACCACCTAACAGGAGAAGCATACTACTAGTCAGAGAACATGAGAAAAGCAGCAATAATGGAAGGCAGTTGTGGAGAAGGCAAGATCAGCCAGCCAAAGCAAAGACAGGTAGGTACCAAATACACAGGCACCCCCACAAGCTAGACTCAGCCTCACGTGCGTTCTTTTTTCCCTAAGTCTAATATTAACTCTCAAAGCCTACAGGTCATTCAATTAAAGTCAAAATCTAAAGCTGCCTTTTTTTAAATATTTGTACATGAGAACTAAGTTTTCTAAAACACAATTTAAAAATATACACAATTCTGACTACAACTTGGAAATTCATAATTAGCATTTTTTGGCTTTTATTTCTTAAAGGAACTTTTACACACACACACACACACACACACACACGGACGCACGCCAGCCTTCATTAGAAGAAATTACCTGTGGTTGGAACTGGGGAACAGGTGGCCCTTGCATTCCTTGTGATTGCTCATCCATTGTCTGAAGCAACAGGAACTTTAGAACTCTGCAAAAATATAAAGTTTAAATTTAAATAATGTAATCATTACCAAGTCATGTTGCTCATCATATGCCTGAGGCTTGCATTCAAATATCAGATTTACCTAATGGTTCAAAAAGCACCCATTAAGATATCCCATATTCTTCTGTCATTTGCTAAATCCAAGCTCTGTTTAGCTAAAACAAAAGGTATTCACTGTCTCAACTATGTCCATTTCTCCAAAGTAGTATTATGTGCTTAGAAAATCCTATTTTATGAGATGAAATTCTCTCTTCTCCATTATACCTTATAGACCAAACAGGCTTCCCCTTCCCCATGCCAGTGTGCAAAGATAATTACAATAAGCTTCCCATCAATGTGGTAAATGTTCTACAACTCTAAAGTGCACCTCATCTTCATATTCTAAAAATGTTAGTACTTTTGTTATGTATGTCCAACTATAATTCTTACTGTAGTTTTTAGGTTTAAACTTAAAAGGCCAGTCCTCCTATGAGGGTGTTTATGTTTTTATGCATACTTTGCTTGTAATTAAAAACATTCAGCCATCAACTCAGTTAACATAAGCTGAAGACTAATTCTATGTCACCTACTGCACAAGGCTCAAAAAGTGAACTACAAACAAGACACAGCTATTGCCCCACCGAACAACACTTTTTCTACACAATGTCAATTATTTCTAGGTTCCTCACAAGTGTTATTTTTTAACTAAAATATAATGTGTGGGTTGAAAAACTAGGATCCATTTAAATGGGATTAACAGAGAAACTAAAACACATCCTCATTTCATTATACTCTTTTAGAAAACAGTTAAAAAATGACATGGGTATTTGTATTGTAAATATTCCCTTCCATCTGTAACTTGTCTTTTTAAAAACCTTTCTAATGGCATCTTTCAATTAACTAATGAACAGAAATTCATAAATTTAATAAGGTCTAATCAATCGTTCCTTTACAATACCTTTGTGTACTATTTAAGAATTATTTCTGTACTCCAATTTCTCACACATTATCTTCTAACATAAGCTTTGTTGTTTTACCTTTCAAGTTTAGATCCATAATTGACCTGGAATTAAATTTTTGTATGACAAGGTAAAGTCAATATTTAGGTTTTTTTCTATATGGATATCCAATTGACTTCAAATCAGATATTGAAATGATCAGGCTTTACCCCACCCTCCCCCCAACACTACTATGTCATCCTTGCCATATATCAAAAGACAACATGTACATAAACACACACATACCCCCACACACATTGCAAACTTGCTGAACTCACTTATCAGTTCAAGTAGATTTTGGGGGATTCTTGCCTTATTTTAATGACTAGAACTTCCAGTACAATGAACCTAAGTAGAGAGTAGACATCTTTTTATTGTTCCTATCAGGAATAAAGTGTTGGGAAGGAAAAATTTCCCTTCACTGTTCAAGATTCTTCTAGCTGCTGTAAGAATCAAATTGACACGACAGTAACAGGAGAAAAGTTTGATAATATGTATCAAAAGTAACAGGAGAAAAGTTTGATAACATATATACCTTCTATAGATATATATATATCTTATATATATATAAGCAACTCAGGAAAACTGAGCAACTCCCCAAAATGGTCAAAGCCATCAACATAAATACCATCTTCAGCCAAAGACAAAAGATGTTGGGAGTCAGTTACGGGAGGTTACCAGGAAAAGCACAGTAAACAATAGTAAGGTTGTTATTCAGATTAACTCATTGCCATCTCTATTGGTAATAGTTTCTAGAAATTGAGTCAAACCCTCTTACTGGTACAGCAAGGGAGACACCTTACAAATGGAGATTTTCCTTACAAATACAACTGTCTCATACAAAATGGTAACCTATACTCAGGTTCCAGAGCTTCTCCTGTGTTTGCAGCATCTTAAAAATAACCAGCTTAAAATAATCAATATGCCGGGGCGCCTGGGTGGCTCAGTCGTTAAGCATCTGCCTTCATGAAGCTCGGATCATGATCCCAGGGTCCTGGGATTGAGCCCTCCATCAGGCTCCCTGCTCCGTGGGAAGCCTGCTTCTCCCTCTCACACTCCCCCTACTTGTGTTTCTCTCTCTCTGTGTCAATAAATGAATAAAATCTTAAAAAAAATTAATCAACATGCCAAAGAGGCATATCTTAGAAAAATATGCTCCCTTACAAAAGCATTCTTCACATGAATGAAAGATGTACATTTTTCAAAGATGTCTTAATTTATCAGGTTGAGATAGTGCCCTTATATTCTTACTTTGCTAGATTTTATAAAGAATAGATGTTAAATTTTAACTCAAATGCTTTTTCTACATCTGAGATAATTATATAGTTTTTTTGTTTGTTAAAATGTTCAGGTATGGTGATTCATTTTTGAATGTTAAGCCGGTATTCATTTCTGGGATGAACCTCATTTGGTCATAACATATAACTGTATTTTCTATTTTTGGATTGGATTTTATATAGTATTAGATCCAAGGAGAGGAGGAGAGGGAAGGAGAAAGAGAACTCTAGTAATGAATTAGAATATCTTTTACTGTGAAATCCAAATAATTAAAATCAGCATTTCACATCTAGTATTGCACAGTTTCACAAAACATTCCATGAAAAAAAGGGTTTCCAGGTCAAAGACCTCTGTGAAATATTACTCACTATATAAATCACTCTTAGAGCATTATAATAAATACCAGCATACTAAAGGATCCAACTCAATCTTCTAGATTATAAATTCCATGTCGCAGGGACCTATATGTGTCATCCACAGCTGTATCCCCAGTGCTTAGGTCAATGCTTGGCACAAAACAGGTGCTGAACCAATATTTATTTAATTAATTAATGCATGTATGCCTATCATAAAAACATCACATAATTATGGTTACAGTTTAATAAGTCTAAAGTCAATGATAAGAAAAATCATGATCAAATTCAACAAATCTGGCAACCTTCAATCAAAAAAGGTGCCCAAAGAAGGTGCTGCCTAAATTGGATTTTAAATAATGAAGAGGAAAAGTTAACAAGGTTTAGATGAGCCAAGCAAGAGAGGAATTCTGGGAAGAGGAAAAAACACATAGAAATACTCAAAAGCAGAGCACAACACTTTATAAAGAGCTTCAAATTAAAGTTGGCAGGTAGTAGGAGATAGGGGGTGGAGAGTTAGTAGCAGGTTACCTTAACAACACAGAGAAGTGTCAGCTCATGAAAAAAATTATGGTATTTACTTTATTCAGTTGGTACCAGAGAGTTAATGTTGGATTTCAAGCAGCTGAGAGAGAGGATTTCACTGTTTGTGAAAGACAGTCTTTCTTGCCACATGACAGAGTAGAGGAATTCACAATCATAAGGAAGATCAGTTAAGAAGCTATGGCAACAAAGATGTCCATCGACAGATGAATGGATAAAGAAGATGTGGTATATATATACAATGGAATATTATGTAGCCATCAAAAGGAATGAGATCTTGCCATTTGCAACGATGTGGATGGAACTGGAGGGTATTATGCTGAGCAAAGTAAGTGAATCAGAGAAAGACATGTATCATATGACCTCACTGATATGAGGAATTCTTAATCTCAGGAAACAAACTGAGGGTTGCTGGAGTGGTGGGGGGGTGGGAGGGATGGGGTGGCTGGGTGATAAGACACTGGGGAAGGTATGTGCCATGGTGAGAGCTGTGAATTGTGCAAGACTGTTGAATCACAGATCTGTACCTCTGAAACAAATAATGCAATATATGTTAAAAAAAAGAAGAAGAAGAAGAAGATAGCAGGAGGGGAAGAATGAAGGGGGGAAATCGGAGGGGGAGACGAACCATGAGAGACGATGGACTCTGAAAAACAAACTGAGGGTTCTAGAGGGGAGGGGTGGTGGGAGGATGGGTTGGTCCAGTGATGGGTATTAAAGAGGGCACGTTCTGCATGGAGCACTGGGTGCTATGCACAAACAATGAATGATGAAACACTACATCAAAAACTAATGGTGTAACTATGGTGATTAACATAACAATAAAAAATTAAGAAAAAAAAAGAAGCTATGGCAACAGTCAAGAGATGACAAAGCCCTTCACCAAGGTCCTCTGTTGTTGTTTTTTTTAAAGATTTTATTTATTTATTTGAGAGAGAGAGAATGAGCGGTGAGGAGGAGCAGAGGGGGAGAGAGAGAGAGAGAAGCAGACTCCCTCCTGAGCAGGAAGCCTGACATGGGGCTCGATCCTAGGACCCAGAGATCATGACCTGAGCCAAAGGCAGACACTTGATGGGACTGAGCCACCCAGGTGCCCCCCATGGTCCTCTTGACCTCACCCAGCTTTCAACACAACCATCTCACTTTCCCAAAATGTTCTATGATCTCTTATTCTTCTCGCTTTTCTCCTACACTGTAGCTATTCTAAGTTCCTTTTTCTATCTAACATTTATATTTGAGTGCTCTAAGGCTTAAAGCTTTTTTGGGGGGTGCCTGGGTGGCCCAGTCAGTTGAGCATCTGACTCTTGGTTTAGGCTCTGGTCATGATGTCACAGGAGGGGGGACTGAGCCCCACCTCACACTCTGTGCTCAGTGCAGAGTCTACTTGAAGATTCTCACCCTCTGCCCCTCCCCCAACTCATGTGTACATGCACTCTCTGTCCACACCCCTCTAAAATAAATAATCTTTTTTTAAAAATCTTTTTTTTTTTTTAAACCTACTATCTCTGCTGAAGTCATACCATCCAGTCCCATGACTTTGAATAGCATCTCTATATGATTACTCTGAAATCTGTATCTCTACCACAGGTGTATGGTCTGAGCTCTGAGCTATCAACACCAATATCCAACTGTCCATCTGATATCTCCACCTTGATCGAGGATTCCAACTCCCATCCTTCCAAAAAAATAAAATAAAATAATTCTTTTCCTCTAATATTCTTTATCTCTTTTTATGAATCACCATCTATTCAGCTGGTCCGGCCCCAAAATTCTCAAGCTTCTGGGTCTCTGGACCTCTTTATCTGAGGACCCCAAAGACTTTTTGTTCATGTGA